CCCAGTGGAACGTCAGTGTTCGTTGCCATACTATTAGGAAAGTTATAAGGCGAGAGAGATCAATATCACATGAGTTGAGGCGTGAGGTGCTTGAATAAGCCAAGGTTTACGACTGAAACCACTCTCTTCTCGGCTATGAAATAAAGTCGTTTCTGTTACGTATCGTGCATTATGTGTTCTGAAAAAGTGAAGAGCAAGAAATCATGGATTGATCCCTATCAAGCATTAATATCGAGATCAAAATCAAATCGTTACGAGAAAGAGAGAGGAGAGAAAGGATCAAAGGAATGTAAACGCGTTATGTTTCGTGAAAAATGGTCAAATATGCATAATTAGCGAAGAACCACAATATATAAATAAACATAGCTCAATACATTTTTTTGTTTACAGTCTCTTTCCTAAAAAAAAGACAAAAGAAGAAAGTTAAAAACATGTTTATCCTCTCATTCTGCCGTCTCAATAAGAATAAACGAAGTCTCAGGATATATTGGTTGCCCGGCTAATTGTACGTTAACAATTAAATAATAATTGTTGACGTATGTTTATTATTAAATAGCCCAACAACAACAATAATTGAACATGGGATTGCAATTTGGATTGTGCTTTCATTCATAAACAGCATGCAAGCTTTTACGAATGGAATCATTCGAAAAGCATTATTCCTGTAAATCAATAAATAATAGCGAAAAGCAAAGCACAAGAATTAACAATAACAACAACAACAACAACAAATACACTGCAACGGAATAACTATAAAGAAAACAATTTATTATTGACACATGACACACGAAGTCAACTGGCATATATGTGCGCGTACAACAAAAACATCTTTCTTAATTAATGTTTAAACTCAGATGTTGTATGCGAACGTACGCGTACTGCACATAAACCAAATAATGTACGAATAATAATGAGGCAAAGAAGCAAAAATAAAAAAAAAAAAAAACACCACTTAATGAAAACTTATTGTGCATGTGTGTACAGAGGGCATACATAAGCATTTAAAACTCATGTGCACAACAATGTCGATATAAGCAAATAAAATTCTGTGCTACTATAATGGAATGCAAGCTTCCCGTCTGTCCCCCCCCGGGAGTGGGAACATTTACGCTTTCATATATACATACAAATATACATATATGTATATATATACATAAATATATATGTGTGTGTGTGTGTGCTTGCGTTTGTGATAAAGTTGGATGTGCGTTGCTGCATGGCTCCTGCAACACAAATGCAATAAAGATTAACACAAGAGAAAGAATCTTTCTTAAGCTTTGATTGAAAGCGACTGTCGAATAAGCCATAAATAGTAAGAATAACTTAATGCATCTCTACACCTGTGTGTGTATGTGTCTGTAAGCATACATACGCCTTATATATCCTTGTTTATAAATAAATATATCAATAAATAAATTGTTTATAATGATAATGAAGTTCATATACACGCATATGCCTGCAGGCATATGTACCGACACATATCAGGGAAATTTTTTCCTTTTTAAGGTGAGATTTTTATATATATATATATATATATATAAAACAATTTCGCTCAACGCGTTCGCTCATGTGTTACATCACAACGATAAGGAACTACAATCAACCACCAACTGATATTATCTCTGATGCCGTTTTGACGCCGGTTGCCCAAGAGTTATTCATGTATACATGTGTATAAGTTGTGCTCCATCGCTATGATAATACCGGATGAAAAACTTCCCAGTGCGGAGAAGTAGGAATTGTCGCTTAGGTGTGCTGTGTTGTGAGCAATTGATTTAATTTCATTTTTATTCTTTTATTTCGTTCATACAATTTTCCTATAACGTACGTATACACTGTACACAGCGGTAAACAATTTTGTTTTTGTTCTCTTTTGTAAAACTCACATAAATTGGCCGTCTCTGTGCTTCCGGTTAACCTTGAATATTTATTTCATTTGCGGACACCAATCTCTGTGCTATCGTATTTAATAGGATTTAATATGGAACAAGTAAGAAAATTATACACATTTCACTGCGAATCTTAGACACTCCTCGCTTAACGTAAATGTTTAGGAAAATTTTACAAAGGAAAGCTCGTGTCATTGTTTGCCGTATTGTGGCAATGTAATAACCTCTTTGGCGATGTTTTTTTATAACTCAAATTAAAATTTCGTTATATAAAAAAAATAAATATGAGCATCAACGATCCACCTGCCTAACTACCTACTTACCTGGACCTATTGACTGTTACCAATGAACTGAAGCAACTAATGCATCTTCCTTTAGGACAGAACACAGACAGTAGAAAACCTCGAACACAATCTCAGTTAAAGTGAATCGTGTGTATCTGCATTTAATCTTATATGTGTTATAAATAAATTGCCATTGAATTCAATGCTCCGGCACACACACACACACACACACATCATCATATCGTGCACGTTTAAAAGCAAAAAAGGAAATTATTAAGCAAACAGGATATATTTGAAAACATTCTCAAAGACAACTTTCTAAAAGCGATTCACAGACGGGGATTAGGGATTCAGTAAACAAAAGACTATGGCATAAATTAAGAGAATGACTTTAAAATCAAAACAACAACAAACTCGATCGAGATTGATTTTACTTTTTCTTTTTAGGCTTCTCTGTAAGAATTATTTTAAATGAAATTACAATACTCTACTCTACTCTACTCTAAAGAAGAAGAAACTACCATATCTGCATAAGAAAGAGGGAAAAAATGAAAGAAATTCTGAACATTGTTTAATGAACTCGTTTAAGGTTAGCGATTCCATCCATCTCTTAGGCAAACTAATGTTTTGAACCGCTTACTTTAAATTTGCCGTTTGCTTCTGATTAATCTTAATCGTTGCATTGTCATAATTTAACCTTTGGACTAAAGTTCTTAATACTTTGCTTTGTTTGATCGATGATCTTCTCTACAAAGTCGTAATTCAAGCTTTTAATCTGAGTAATTTCAGTTAATAAATAATGAATAAACCTTCTCGGCATATTAACAAGAAAAAAACTTCTCGAACTGTTTTCAATGTCTCTCGACGTTTTCTACGGCAAGTGCTCCTCTAATACTTTTGAATGACAGGATGCTCGATAATTTTCTTTTCTAAATCAAATTAATTATCCACGCTAGTGCGATTGCCTCGTTATACTTATATTTATTTGAATGTACATAGCGCGTAGCTTCTAGACATAATGTTCCACGAAGTCTAGAGAGAGTATCAGTCGTTCAGCAGTTGTGTCCACTGATTTCCTTTTTTGTTTCAATGTTTGCTGGCGACGGAAAAATATCTAAGCAGTAAATAATTCTTAATTGTTTCCATATTACCTTTTACTTTCACTTTCTTTGACCTTTTAAAAGACAACCTTAACACAACCTTAACAAAGATGAAATTTGAAGATTAAATTGAGTCAACTCTTAATAAGTTTAAGGCTTTCCTTGGCGTGTTAGTGCAAAGTATTATTGAAAGATCTCTTTGATCGCCTAGTTACGCTTGCTAGAAAGCTTTCTAAAGTTTGCACTATATGCTTGAAGTCGTAGTTGCTTCCATCGAGCCAAAGCTCCTGGACTTGCTGGTTAGTTGGTTAAGTGCATCTTTTTTTTTTTGTTAAATTGCTAAAGTGGCGCACTACTTCGGCAGTCATAATGTATTATCTCAAACAATTTTTTTTTTCTTTTTGCGGTTAGGAGAATGTTTACAACCGGCATTACACAGATGGACAGAGGGACATGCATAAATCGGCTCAGGATTTAATTGCTGTTCAAAAATATATATACTTAGGAGGGTCTCTGAAGCTTTCTTCTGAGCGTTGCGACAAGATGAATATATCCCTCAATCTTCGGTGATGGGTATAAAAAAGGTTCATGAACCCGCAATGGAAAATGATTGCATAGGGCCCATTCTGGCTTTGTAATCAGACAGTAGTCATAAAGGAAACAAAATTTGTTTTCGTCATAACGATGTCGCTACCCCACCAAGCAGTTAAATCACGCAAATCAAATATGCGAAGAATATCTTGCGATTTGCGATGTCTTTGTGATGTTGTTCAGACTACGGCTACGTGTCTAGTGTTGTTCCTTTGGTGTTTGTAGAACTCATTTCTGAATAGCCCAAAGTTTTTTTAGGAGGAATGCAGCACAATGCTGTAGCTTTGCATAAGTACACAATAGCAGTGGCACTAAAGGTAAGCGGTTAACAAGGAAAAGTGGTCAGAATCTATATTTGTTTCTTTTTTTCTTTTGCTTTGATGTTTATTGGATTTATTCAGTTCTGAATAGCCCGGGGTCGCTTCTTTTACATATAGAAAGATATAAGCAACTTTTCTTATTTTTTCGCCAAACCTTCCTACATTTCTTTAACTTAACTAAGCCAACGTTGTTGTACGTGTTGTGTTCACAAGAAGGATAGAGGATTTGAAAATTTTCGCACAATCATTTTAATTTAAGTTTCTACAGCATTAGCCCACGCAATTTTGAGTCTTTTAAGTAAGCAACAAATAAACGCCAACTTCTCAACGTTTCTTAAAGCTGGAAGGGTAGAGGGCAAGAAATGTATGTAGGAGCCACCAGATGACCATTCCTAAAGAAAAAATCAGTAAAAATGAATGGCAGCTTATACTGAACTCTAATATGAGAAATATGAGAAAGCTTTTTACTGTTCATCGAATGTTCGAAAATAAAGCTTTTAGGTAAACGGTTGAACAGTTTTTTTCTTCCGTTTAGGTAAAAGCAAGAGATTTTTCGCATGTAAAACTTATAGCTGAATATGTTTTCAATGCAATTACTCTTAACAATGCTAAAGAGAATAATGATTATTTTTGAGAGTAAGAGAAAGAAAGAGAGCGAGTGAAAAAAATTGAAGTTTAGAAAACTGGGATGAAAAGCTTCGCTTTTAAAGGATGCTGAGTTATGAAAATGGACTTTTGCGAAAAATAATTGAAATGATGTCTAATGTATACGATTTTGGTTAAAAGTTTCCTGATGTATTCAGTTAAGCTCCAGCATCCAATTGTCGTGGAGCATAAGGCTTTCCTTTAACGGTCGACCAGTTCACCTTTACTTAGTAGAATCAAGCAGCAAGCAAAACATAACGCTCTACTGAACTGAAACGGTTCGTTCGTTCGTTGTCTTTTAATCGCTAGTAACGGTATTTGTTTTTAAACAATTTGAAAAATACAAAAACTTAACTTAATTAGCATTTGTATCACTCACTCACTATACGTGAGGAATACATGACAAAGAAAAAGACTGCTAATGCATCGAAGAAGAGACAGTAAATGTTAAAGTGTGCTGCAACTGTTGAAGCCTAGAAAAAAGGAAATAAATAAATAAAATAGAAAACAGAAAATAAAAATAAAAAGAAACATCAGGTGGTAATGTTGCTACGGTAAAGCTAAGTCAACTACAGCCTCCGACAGCAACAGCAATAGCAAAAGCATTTCGCAGTGACGGTATCTTAGCGGCAGTAGTTGCAGACACACTTGCAGTTGCATTTCTAGCACTTGAGTTAGTCTCGGAGACGTAACTCAGCTGAATGGTTCGTCGTGTATTCCATAGTCGCGTTATAAGTCGTGTGTTACGGGATTTCTTGCTTCCTTCATAAACTTAACGCGTAAAGATGATAAGATAAATGATTTTTGAAAAAATCTTTGTTTTTGTACGTATTCAATAAGTGAAAGGAAAATGTTTTTTTTTTTTTTTTTTTTTTTTTTTTGTAAATTTCTGGAAAGAGATTTTAGACTTGTTAGCCAAGCTACTCCTAATGGGATGAAATGATTCGTAAGCAAACCAGAAACTTACTTAGAGAGAACTCTGCGTACATTCTCCAGGAAGAATACCTATCGATGTGTTTTGCGGCTATTTGAAAATCGTGGTTTCTTTTACATGTATGTGGCTTTAAGCAATTCAATAAACCCGCAAATGCTTACACCCATACATATTGAGCGATTTTCATATGTATGTTTGCTAGCATTAGCAGGAACAAACATAAGAAGTCATGCAAAATTGTTCATGCATGTGTGTATGTGAGCCTTATGCTTGAATGTCTCCTTTTGCTTCGTAGCACATACACACTTTGCAAGTAATAATGTATAAACACGAGTGCGTGCCCATGTGTGTGCAATGCACATAAGTAAATCCATTAGAAAAACCAACAATTGAGTCGCAAATGCATAAAAAATAAAGTAGAAAAGAAAAAAATAACAAAAATATAAAGAAATAAAATAAAACGAAAAGAGATTTCATGTCTCGTGTGTAAAGAGTGAATAACATAACACGTACATGTATGTGTACCGCAAGAAGCAAAATATGCGTATTTTCAATGCTCCCAGCATTTGACGTTCGAGCGGAAATTAGAGAAAAAAAAAAAAACCATATTTCACAAATGCTTTTCTATGGTAACAACAAAAAATCGTATCTAACGTAAGGGATTTTTCTCGCATCTTTTGGTTCTTTCGATATACTAACAAATGCAGAAATATTTGATACACGCGAACGGCGATCACCTGCATTCATTTGCAACATAGCAAGCGAGCGCAGAATGTCTTGCACACAATCTTGTGCATGAATTGAGTTTTTGTGTAAGTAAACCGAACGAAATGAATTTAGGTTAGTTTTCCTAGTTTTTCATGCTCCAAAGCTTCGTTGTCGCGCATAGACATCCAACCACCCACACCCACGTACGTACTGTCATTATTTAACCAATATCTATTGAATATTTGAGCGAGAGTGCGTAAAGTTGCACAAATGATGATAAGCAACTTGCAATTGACTTAAGTAAATGAATCTGTTTTCTCAGTTATTCGAAAACAAGTATGTTCTCGTACACAATAATAATAACAACAACAACAATGTAAATTGACGTAACACAATTTGAAAACCTCAAACAGGTATACATTACAAGTGTATATCACACATATACAGCCAAAGGCATATGAATAGCTTGCATTTTACTATGAGAATAAGGACACGGGTTTATGCTAAGACACAGCTGCAAAACTTACCTTTTATTTCCAAATGGAGTCTAAATCGCATAAAGGCGACATTCTCGTAAAGAAATTTATAGAAATATTTGTACAAACAATGCCATGATAAGACAAATCATTGGACAAGAATTTAAACGAAAGTATAACAGTTGTGTGTAATGTTGTTTCTTATAGATAACGGGAAATAAGTTATCATCAGTAGGATGTAGCCTAAGAGGAAGAAGGATAGGATGTCGATGCGTTGAATCTTGACTCTGAAGTCAAGTGCAAATAGACAAAATTACTTTCACGAAACAACTGATTGTTTGATCAGCAAGATGTTAAAGCTCTTTTGTAATGGCCTTTATGTACTACCCCTATGAATGAATTCAATGATTAGAAATATGCTTATCTTAGATTTAAAAATAAATATTCCCAAATTCAAAGATAAAGCATCTTACGCTGGTATGCGCCTCGGTTATATGGGCACGTTAATCCTACTGAATCTTCGCAGAAGTATTTTCCGTTTTATGCGTTAAGAAATTAAGGTTTGTGTCCTATAGTCTAAATATAGTTTTCTACATACCGTAACTTAAAAAACGTAGGATGGCCTTAGGCATTAAGTTCATGGTGCCATTGATTCGCTAGTTTTGTTAAATGAAATTTACTTGAATGTTCCTATCCGGCCAAACAGGGATATTTTTAGTCAATTAACCTTAAATTATGAGCTTTTTCACCCACTTGGGAGCCTCTGCGAAAATGTACATAAGGTTTTTACTTAATTTCATTAACGGATACATTAAAACGGCTCATTTTCAATGTATTGTCGACGTCGTAATTTAAACTAAAATTTAAAATATTATTACTGAGCTGCGTCCCGCCAACGTCTTAAGTACTGTTCACGCGGTGCACTCTTAATTGATGCATGTCAATTGTTGAGTGTGTGATTGAACAAGGCGGGTATATGACTTTTTTTTCTACTTACTCTTGTATGTATGCGCACATTTCGTGGTTGTAATAACTCTCTGGCTTTATTTGTAACATGGTTACGCTTTTACGCTTCGGGATTGTATGATTGAGCTGCATCTACCCCATAGCTGAACTCTGTGTATGTAAATAAATATCCGATCTATTATTGCTTTACTGGCACTTATTGCAGCTGGACTTTTTATTTATTTAATATTTTTCCTGTGATTGATTGTTAGCAGACGTCATGGCCACGTTATAGCTTCAAAACTTATCGTTCTTTCTTTATTATTCATTCAGAACTTGGCGCTATATTCTAAATGTCTTACATCTCTCTTTGATTTTGATTTCCCTTTATTCTGAGTTCTTAATAGCATACGCGATCAGTTCTCTTCCATAGGATTTTAACACGTTTCCCATAAGCCATCGAAACGTCACTCTTATTTTTTTACTCATATTGAGGAGTGTGCTATTCATATGTCCTTAGCTGTTTACAAACATATACAACTATTTCTATAGACTTTCCTGCAGTCCTAACAAGATAATGTTTTCGTTGGGGAATATTAAATTAAATAGTTTTATAGTATCTGCTTTGCCTAGCTATGCCGGAAAGAGCATGAAACTGTGTTTTTGTTCTTGTTTTGTTTGCCCTTTCTTTTTACAGTTATTTTGCTTTTGTTGGCTTTTTTTTATTTGCTTCTTTTCTTTTGCAATATTGGACTTGTGTTTTCATTTTTTGTTGAACGTACCAAAACTGTATAGAAGAGTTTTTGGAATGTCACTTGAGGATTAAATAAAAGACTTATGTATGGAGAGTCTCAAGAAAGTCGAACAAGCAAAGATGTGAAGTATTAAAATCTTTGCTTAGTTAACTCAGTTAATAGTGTGCAAAGAAGATTAAGGTTAACCGTAGTTTGCTTGCGAAAAAGATTTATTTGCTTCCTCGTATTTTAAAGGATTTTCTAAAGATTTCTATACCATTTTGTAAATTGTTCTTCATATTAATCGACATCGTAGTTGTTCCAATAAATTCCATGTCGAACTAGACTCGACATTATATTATCCAAAGTGATGTTTCTTTTTTTTTTTCGCTCAATTACTAAATGTGTTTTTTATGCCTTTTTTGCAAATTAATTACGTAATTATAACATTGGACAAGTTGTGTGGCATTTGGCGGGATGGAAAAGTCACTGAAACCCATGAAAGTACTGCAGTCTTTAATTACATTAAACACAGTTTGGAACGGTACTGGAAGGAGAGCGAGAAACCTGCTTATCGCACGATTGCATACTATTATGTAATGTTAGGATTATTTCCATGGAAATATTGTCTAACGCAAGCCCGTACACGAACTGGATAATACAAAGTAAAACCCAGATAACTAGAATTGTTAAGTGAAAGGGTAGTCGGTTTGGAAATTGTAACATTTTTCCCTTGCGTAAGCAGCATGTGCTCTTTTTATATTCTTTATTTATTTTCTCTCTTCAGGCTTCCGATATATTTAACTTTCCTTTATATTTAACCCTCTCCGCCTTTTCCGCATTTTCTCTTAAAAAACATATACAGAAGGACAGAGAACCTCAAGAACTGTAGCCAAAGCGCTGTAGTCTCTGAAAGGTAACGTACACTCGGATTAGGACATCGCTAATTTTTGACGATATATACGAAAAAGTAGAAAAAGTAATAGTAGTTGTGGTAATGAAAGTAATAGTAGTACTAGTCTTTGTTTAAGGAAATAAATGCATTTACATGAACTTTGTCCTTGTCAAGGGTATTAAGAACCTTGCAAAATGTCGCCTAACCCATCTAAAATGTTCTCTCTACTATCTATAGAATGTAAAACCTCTTTCTGAAAAATAGTAACTTCAGCTTCGTACACCCATCGAAGCGAAATTTTGTATGTAAGCCGTACTTCTTTTACAACCAACCTCGACACATGGCAAAGAAAAGAAGAAAATAAACTCTTTTCGTTGTCAGCTTAATATTTCGAAGTCATGAAATTTATAGAAAGTTCAAATCAAATATTTCGTAGTTTTCTTCCTTAAAATTGATTGAATTAAAAAAAAAAATTAAATAAATAAATGTTAAGAGGGTTTCCTTTGAAGGAAATTTTCAAATATTTCCGTTCATCCCTTTTTTTTTTCATTCTTTATATTCTGCACTGCTTGCGGTACAGCGTATATTAAGTTTGTGCGGATGTGTATGGCTTCCGAAAGGGCTTAAGGCCTTTTATTACACCAATCTATTTCTGAACCGATTTAGGTAAATGCGTCCATCCGTCATTTTGATATCTGTCCATGTATTTTTTGTGTTTAATCTATAGGTCGCAATTTTTGAGTTATTTTGGTGCGTGTTGGTCCGGAAACGAACCTTATTGAAAATTGATATGCTATTTCGTCCATTACCCGTAAAAAGCTTTAGTTTAGAAAAATCGGAATATGAAAAAATACTGCGGTTTACAAAATTTCTCAAAAAAAAAAAAAAAGAATTGTTACGTAAGTGTATCGCAGCATAATAAATTTGATTTAAATGGACTGATATTTGGGACATCCTTCTACGTAACTAATGTTGATAATCCATACCGAACTATAACAGTAATTTCAATTAGAAATCAAGTTCAGGAAATTTGGTGGCCGTAGATCTCTTTGTTTGGTCTCACTTTTTATAAAAGGTCTGATAATAAGTGAGACAATGCAACAATAAAATATAACAACAAACTGAAGGTGAATTACAATAAGATATTCAAACAGCAGGTTAATCATATGAAATTTGAATCATGTCCGTTGATTTTCGAAATATTAATTATCTTTAGTTCTGTAAATTTTTTTAAAAACGAAATTAGAAGAAATTTTTGGTTTTTTTTTTTATTCTTAAAAGTGATTCTTTGCAAATTAGGAAAAAGAACCTCATTAAGTATAGCATACGACCAGAAAAGTATAGCATACGACCAAATGACATAACTATTAAATTACAATTATTAATACAGTGAATAAATTGAAATACATGTACAATTCTCTCAATTCTAAACACTCTCGGTGAAGCCATAAAAACCGGCAGCAAAACGACAAGAGGGATATGTTCCCATATTTTATGTAAGTCGAAGAAAATACTTTTGGTTTTTCTATTTTGTTTTTCAATCTTTTTTGAAAAGTGTTTTTGAAAAATTTTTATTTTTCAATACTTTCAGGCGTGGTTTTCTCAATATCGCAGAAATCTGTTCTATAAGTTAAAACAGTTTTTTTAATAATAAAATTAAGAAAATGAATAAAAACATTTCTTTTTATTATTTGAAAGAAATCATTATTTTAAAGTTAGAAAATCGTGAGAGATTACTGTTTTAATTTTTGGTTATTTACAGAGATATCTTACAATCGTTACTCACTATAATTGGTATTTTAATAATAGTTAACGGTAATCTTGCCGTGTTTCGTTTTTATGACAAATCATGCCACGATGTGAATCTCAGTCACTTGAAAGTCCTGGGCGCGCCTTGTGGATTCCGATATCGAGAGTCAGCTCGATTGCAGCTCGAAATGAAGAAACTTTCCTACAAAGAAAGAAGCATATTTTATTTATGTCTTCTGCAAGTCCGTAATTCATAGCTATTCGGTTCGCCCAAAAGCGTTTATTCTCAATTAGTGCTTTTGTTT